ACATTAGTATTGACATTGACATCAACATTGACATCAACATCAAAAATGGTGTTGGCATTGATGTTGGTGTTGGCATCAACATTGGTGTTGGCATCAACATTAGTGTTGGCATCGACATTGGTGTTGGCATTGACATTGGTGTTGGCATTGACATTGGTGTTAGCATTAACGTTGGTGTTGGCATTGACATTGGTGTTGGCATTAACATTGGTGTTGGCATTGACATTGGTGTTGGCATTGACATTGGTGTTGGCATTAATGTTGGTGTTGGCATTAACATTGGTGTTGGCATTAATGTTGGTGTTGGCATTGATGTTGGTGTTGGCATTGATGTTGGTGTTGGCATCGATGTTGGTGTTGGCATTGGTATCAACATTGTCCAAAGAATCATCATAATCATTAGGTTGGTTCGGATCTAAAAGGTTATTATGAGTAAAGAAATAATAAATGAATAAACAAGTAAACCAATAAAAAAAAAACATGCCTTCCATATTATTGTCCAAATTTAATATATCATTGATCTTGATCTGAACCATATTTGGAATCTCCTCTTCGTTATAAATTTTTTTTTTATATAATTCATTTACCAAGATGCTGCTTCCACATGGCTTACAGCCATAAACAAGTTCAAATGGTGTTTTTTTATGAGAGCGAACTATGAATTATTCATCACGGCAACAACAAATTTCAAGCCAAATGACCAGTCCTTACAACCAGTATTTTCTTGCCACTTTCCTAATTTTTGCTGCAATATCACATTTGCTCGTTCAACAAGCCCTTGTGATTGGGGGTGGCAGGGTCTTCCATTTATTATGGTTACAGATGGCCATAACTCAATCAGTTTTTTAATAACTTGAGCAACAAACTCCTTTCCATTATCCGACTGTAGAATCGTCGTTGATGATCCAAGTGAATTAAAAAGTTCAAACAGGTATGCTGCAACCTTGATTGCTCTTTTAGAAGTAAGGGCCCTTGCCCAGGAAAACCTGGTAAAATGATCTCTTAAGTAACAAATATACTTAAATTCTTTATCCAGATCAAAAGATAAGTCAATTAGATCCATCTGTAATAAAAAAAAAATTTAATTATAAATATAAAATGAAAATATAAATTATCCAAAGTAAGTGATGAATTACCTGGATACGTGACAAAAAATTATTAGCTATTATTGGCTTGGCTGCTAGAGGGTGAAACGTAGGCTTACGAACAGCACACATAGTGCAATTATTGACAAACTTTTCAATAATATCCTGTTTGATCCAGCTCCACCTTTTGCGCACAGACTTCCATGTCTGTTTTTGTCCTCTGTGTTGTGTAACCTCACTATGAACTTGACAAAGAACTTCATAAAATTTTTCCTTTACTAAAACAGGATTACCCATCTCTTTTTCAATTACTCTATGATCACCAGGTGTGATCTCTTCAAGCTGGAATTTTCTCTTGGCCCAGCTGTGAGTGTTTTTATTATATAATGTATGATCTTTGGGGTTTAATAAAATTGTTTTTATTTTCGCCAAAAACTCATAGTTGATTAAAGCTTTTTCGCATTTTAATTCAGGAAGGTTAAGTATATAATTATTTACAATTTGTTTTAAGGTGTTTCTATTAATAAAGGTGTATTCCATATTTAATGAAGGTTAAAGGACTCAATGAGCCCAAGTTTTTTTTTTTTTTTTTTTGTAATGCCAAGAGGCCAAAAAATAAATGAAGCCCAGGAAAAAGACTTATATACCCATTTGGCTCTGACCAATTTATGTTCAGTTGCTTGAATTCATCTTTGAAACATTCTTACAAACATATTATTATCATTTACTATCATTTACTACATATTGATTAAAAATTAATAGAATTACAAACTTTTTGCATGATAAATGTCATAATTTTTTTAATCGCTATTGTTAAATGATTATCTGTGTCATATTACGGTTTGAGGCACCTCAGGGACTGATCTAGAAGTTACGCACCTCACCTGACGATCAGCATCTGAGGTGTGTCATCTTCGATCTGACGCAGGAAAGGATATGAGGCACAACATATACATCAAGATCTAATTTTAGAGGCTTAATTTTAGTCAAATACTACTTTATATATCTAAAATAGTTACTTTAGATAAATTACTACTTTAAATATAATATATAAAGTAGATATGGGTATTATGGTGCAGTTAACTTTGATTATAATAAAACTTTAAATAAATTATATTAAAAATTATAAAATTTTTTTGAAATAAGATAATGTGACTTTTAAAATAATAATTTTATATAAAATTAAAAATATTTTCAATATAAAAAAAAATTTTTACTAAGTTTGAATTAAATCTTTTCAAAATTTATAATTTTAGATGATTTACCAAAAATAGCACATACATATAAAACAGGAGGAACCATCAATGTTACACATTAATCCTTTACATAATGTAGTCAATCAATAATAAAATTATTTATTTTGTATTTACTCTAAAATCTATGCTATAGATATAATCCCTCACCCCATCATTCATATAGGGTAATCAGTTAAACTAAAATTATTTATATATAACTTCAATTGTAATGGATATAATCTCTCACTTGGCACAACATTAATGGTTCCTCCTGTTTATGTATAATGATCATCTAATTTTTTTTTTCCCCTCTCTAATATATTGTCTTTTGCTTTAGTACATTCTAATTCTTTCTTCTTTTGTGCCCTAGCAATTCGTTTTTGCATGGCAGCCTCTTTTTTTTGTTTGATCTCATTGGCTTTTCTCTTAGCTTCCTTCTTCACATCTTTTAATAACCTCAGGGATGTTTCATTTGTAAAAAGTTGGGAAAACAGTATAGTTTCCTTTTTTTTCTTTTTTGTAAACTTGCTTCTGGCTGGTTCACAGCTTGATTTGAATTTTCAACTGACTATAGAGTATGAGAAAGAGGATACTTAAGTGCTAAATGTAAAGAACAGGTGCTGGAGTTTTTAAAAGTTTCTAATTCATCTTTTGTCGCTTTCAACTCTGCTTCCAACTGCTCAACCCTAATATTAAGTGTTTCAATCTCAGTTTTTAATGATCTTTTTTTATTAGAGTTAAGTGTAGAATTTGGATCTAGGTTAGAAGAAGCTTGTAAAGGTGAAGTAGAAGGTTGTAAAGATGAAGTTGGTATAGAAGGTTGTAAAGAAGGTTGCATTGGTGAAGTATCGAACTGTTCTGTTGTCAGAGAAGGATCAAGACAGTTAGGACTAATTGCATTTGGATTATACAGCCAGATTCCAGTTGCTTTGAAGGAATTGCAAATAGTCATAGGTGTGTAAGTTTTAATATAAGCTAAACCAAGGACCTTAGCAAATGTATGTTTGGTAACTAATTCACTATTATTATTTAAGCAAAGCTGTTTACAACCTTTATCATAAGCTTGTTTAAGATGAGTGAAAGAAAGTTCTGCAGGTTGAAGTATATGGGTTGTGTAGGGTGAAAGTGCATAGAGGAGAATGTTGTTGTTGTAGCAAAGGCTAATACAAGCATAACTAACATGGCTTTTATGACTGTCAAGAATTAATAAAACAGAGTGAGTAGGTGGAATTGAACGAATGAAATATTTGATATATTTTTGAAAAAGGCATTCTTTCATATAGCCAGTATCTGTGAATCCCATAACAGAACCTGCAGGTATACCATTCAAGAGGCCAGGAATTATGTGATTTCCTTTGTAGATGATTAATGGTGATATATACATCCTGGCTGCTGAGATTGTTGAACATACAGAAATGTGTTCTTGAGAATTTCCATGTAAAACCTAATGAACTTGACAGGCACCCTTCTTTGCAATTACTTTTTGAAAAGTTGGATTAATGATGAAGCCCATCTCGTCCTAATATAAAATGATAATTAAAAAAAATAAAAAATAAAGAAAAAAAAAAAAGAAAAAAAAAAAAATAGAAAAGAGACCATATTCCAAATCTGATCTGAGGTAAGCAAATGATTTTCAATTATTGCTTGAAGCTTTTAAAAGTAATTCTTAACAATAATAGGGTTGGCTCTTTGTGCTTGTGCTTCGTTCAAAGCTTGTAGAATACAAAATGAAAGCTCCAGGTGGTTTCTCATGAATCATTTTCACCATGATTAACCTGGTCCACTTTCTTTAAAGGGGTGAAATTTGTTACTTTGGTGAACAATATCCATTATATATTGGTTCACTCCTGACTTTGCCAATCTGAACCCAAGCTTTTGCATATTTAAACAATAACTGACAAGTTGTTGCTCTTTATGGTCAGTTAAAACTTTGGCTGGGCCTGGATGATCAAGAGGGCCACCATTTTTAATAACATGTCTAAAAGTGGTTTCTGAAATACCATATTTTTTTGCAAGACTTCTATGACTTGGTAACTTAGTATTGGTTTGAGAGTCATTAAGTTCTTTAAAGGCACTTGAAATTGCATTTTGTTTTACTAATCAGTTACTATGTGAGAATATTCTTTTTTTATTAATAAGCTTACAGGTTTATAGAATATACAATATCTATTTATAAGATTTAGATTATTGTTATCTTTATTAATTAAGGACGCATAAAAAGATATAGTTTAGCTACATTACTATTCATCTATTCATTAATGCGTAACATTTTTTTTTTTTTTTTTTTTACTTTTTATTACCTTTTATTATAAAGCTTGTTGTATATTTGCACAAATAATATCCATGCACTTTATATCAAAATAACATGTATTGATATTATCTATACAAATATGATATGGTACTTAACCTTAAGATGATATGAAATAAATTAAAGGAGGTTAGTCTACAAAGTTATTATAGATATATTGTTCTGCTGGTCATTTATCAAGATCAATATCATGCATTTATTCACTAATTTCAAGAAGAGTTGTTCGAAATTCAAATTTTGAACAACCACTATATTTGAATAGCCAAATTTAAAGCCTTTGTCCTTTAGCTAACTTCTACATGATTATACCAAACCTATAAATATCTACTGCTAATATAAATTTTTTAATTTTACAAATAGGATTGCTGGTGCAGTTATAATCCTAATGGTATGCCATTGGTGCACCAAGAGACTTTTTAGTGCATGGCATGCCATTAGGTGCACCATTATATTATATTGTCTACCTTAACTAAATTATGCTTGTATGTATTTATGCATTGGGTATTCTCAAGCGTCTCAATCAATAGGTCAGAAATATACCAGGAATTAAATTTTAATTAGCCAGAAAATATTTATAATCGACTAATTGAGCTTGTCATTAAGATAAGTAAGGTAGTTTTTTATGTAAAAAAAAAATAAGTTTAAATAATAAAAACTTAAACCATCATTTTTTTTCAAACCTTTATAAATATTAAAGTGAATAAAATATTTCTTTGCATTTTCATATTTTTTTTTATAGATTTATTATCAATTCGTATTTTTTATAAAATTTTCAATAAACTACTTAGATGGTGCACCATTGGCATCACCAAGTGACTTGCACCAGCAACCCTACTTACAAAACTTCAGGATTCTTCACCCTCTTCTATTGATGATACCAAATCAGAAATATTAGAATAAATATTTGTAATACGTTCAAATAAATATTTTTATGTGTGAATCGAAGCTTATGCATTATAAAAAAGCTGTTATTAAAACAAGAATTTATATGCACTCGAATTTAGAGATTTAGACAATTTTTATTAACTGGCATCTCATTGTATGCAGTGTTATAAATTCAAAAAATTTTTATTAGTGCAAACAACAAAAAAATGTGAACAAAAAAAAAATTATACATGCATTATATAAGTTATCTGATATATATACAAATTTAAATCCATGTACACTGTGCCTACTGCATGAACCCAATTTATTGTACGATGTTGCGCCAAATTGTGATTAATATATGAATAAAAGCTGCCAATATTAATTAGCAAAAAATTATCTATATCTTTCCAAACTTTAATATTTTATGAAATTTGAATCAAGAAACAATTTTACATTATGTAAGCTTTTATTTATTTAATAAATAATCCCATATAAAATTACAATTGTTAGTGTTTGTTAAATGCCTTTGCTAAATAGAACTTAAAAAAACAGTCAAGTAATGATATTTCGTGAACCAGTAGTCAGAATCGAATGATTTTGATATCATTTGATTCGTCTCGACGAGATGAATTGATTGGTGCCAAAATTATATAATTCTGATTACTAGATCGTGAGATATTGTAGATGTGCCACAATACCCATATCTACATTATATGTATTATATTTTAATAAAATATATACTAGTATTTGCAGAGCTTTAATAGTAAATATACTATATATTAAAATTAAATAAAATCTTAATTGAATATATATGCAGTTAAACTTCTTTATAGTTATCTTCTTTATAATTACAAAATTAATATAATTACAAATTTATTTTTACCAATTATTTATAACTATATAAAAATACCTTTATATTAGTCACATCTTTTTATAAGTACAGTTTTTTTTTTCTTAAAGGTGTGGCTATAGAGGAGTTTAACTGTAATTTTTTTTAAAATATTTAGATTGTATATTATAAATATAATAAACTTTTTTTAAATATAAACTGTTAAAAATTACTATATTTAAAGAATATTGTACTTTGAAAATTTACTTCAATAAAATAATATAAAATAATAAATAAATTTTATTAAACTACAAAAATAACTTGTAATTGTAACAAAAATTCTGTATTTAAATAGCTTGCACTTATAATAAAAATTTTGTGCTTAAAATAGTTTGCACTTATAGCAAAAATTTTGTACTTAAAATAGCTTGCACTTATAGCAAGAATTTTGTACTCAAAATAGTTTACACTTATAGCAAGTATTTTGTGCTTAAAATAACTTACACTTATAGCAAAAATTTGTGCTTAAAATAACTTTCACTTATAACAAAAATTTTATGCTTAAAATAGCTTGTACTTATAACACTTAGGGAGTTTGTATTTAAAGAGAACTAACTGCACAAAGTATATATATATTTTAAATTTTTATACAAACACAGTCATATATTATCTTCATATAACTATTTTAACATTAAATTATTTATTTAAATATCTATATAAAAAAATTATTTAATCTAAAATAATTTTTTATAAATAAAAATTTAATATAATGTTATACTTGATTTTTAATCTTTACATATCATTTACTTCTTTATCAATAATATAATAAAGATTATCCACCTTAATAAATCCAATACAATGATTAATTGTTGTTACATCTATAAAATCATAGCCAGAAAACTGATAAAAATATTTTGTTTCTACAAAATCTTCAATAATCGGTATTGTCCAGTTTATGCAAGCTAGCATACAATCTTTATCATTAAATTTGTATACCAAATAGTATTTAATATTACCATAAAATGGTTTTGTTTTAGATACTGGTTTATGTTTTTGATTATTCACATACTTGTCTATTTCTATATAAATTTAAATTATATTTATAATATTATTAGCATTAAGATATACATAAAACCTCTTTAGTATAATCATCCAAATCATTTATGTAATTGATGCTCAAAAATATGTTTGCTACTTAGCATTATAAATTTATTTAAAATCCATACATAAATAATCTTGGTAATTATGCTAGGCT